AACGGACCTCTTTGAGAAAGAAGGTATAAAACACGATTTTCGGATGCTTCAAACGACGAACCAAAAACATTAGGATGACGATGGCGTCGGTAGTTGCTGTGTTGATGATGCTGAGCGCAATATTTGTGCTACAATTATCGTCATATTATCACAACCAGTGCCATCTCCAGCTGTATTTGGTGACAAGCAGTGGTCGCAAATCTGCAGTTAATTTTTTTTTTTACGATATTGAGAAATGCAATGCCCTAAGAGCGTCTGCATATGGACACACGCTTTGTACTTCCACCCCACTTTGCTAACAACACGTTTGCCCAAATTGTGCTACCATTTAAAATCGGACATTGCTCTTAAATACAAAACAGTATTTCTTAAAAGTTACATATATTAAAAAGAGAATAATTTATTGTCACAAATAATTTATTGCATGCACGTGCGATTTTAAAAAAATGTTAAAAAAAAATTTTAAAAAAAAATTAAAACATGCATGTGCGAAATACGTAACCTTCAGTCTTACTGCAAAGATTTTTCGTTCATAGCCACCTTTTATTCTTTTTTATTTCTTCAATAAAAGTCATTTGGAAATGTATTCTATTTTTATGCCCAAGGATTCATGCTCATTTGCTATTTCTTTATGCTCTTTTCTAAATAGGTAAATGTTTGTTGTTTCTGCAGTAATATCATCCTGAAGATATCTTCAGGGACCTCGATGGTTCCAGCTCATATTTTGCACAAGTAAACTAGTTTTTCATTTGAAATGCGAAACTATGAAATCAACCAAAGATCTAACAATGATCTAGATTGTGCAGCATGACCCCAAAATATGATCTATCCATAATTGTTCATTTGTACCTTTTCAATTTAGAATTAAGATCAGTTAATACATAAAACAATTCTCAACAAATCTAGAAATTCACTTGATTATAAATCTTGAAAAATGCACAAACAATAAACCTGTTCGCAAATATCCTTGAGACTGACACCATCAGTTATCCTTCGCCGTATGAAATCAACCGCTTCTTGGCTAGTAAGGGAATTCCTGAAGCATAGATCAGTTGATGACAAAAACTGAAAAACAAAAAAAAGAGAGTATCTTCACCCCTTTCTCCATTGGATGCCTTGGGTGTGACAAAAATTTGGAAGTTTGGAAAGTTTGGAAGTCAGTAATAAAATATAATTCATACCATATACCATCACAAGCAATAATGATAAATTCGTCGCCTTGCAAAATTTTGTATTGTTTAACATCAGGTAATGCCGAGATCATCTGCTCTTTTAATGGTAATGCAGCATTTTTCTTATAGAAATGATCACCTAAGGCTCTGAAAGGGATAGAGTATTAAAAAAGTATAGTGCACAAAGTTCACAATACCCGGAACTTCACTTGCTAACTCATTGCAATAGAAATCTTTTCGAACAAAAACACCACTTCTTTCATTGTACTTCATCCCCGAAAGAGAATTACATGACTATAAGCTGAAAGAAATTAACCTGGAAAGATTCAAGCCACCGTTAACCCGGCCATCCAAACTAATTTCGCCTCCAGCTGTCTCAATTCGCCTCCTTTCTAGAAAAAAAATTTTGCTTCAGTAAACAGTCAGCATAAGCAATATTAAGTCTTTTCTAAATCCACTTTGAATAAAATCATCAACTAGGAAGACACTGCTATTTTAATTTTTGCTTTTACCGTGGGAAAATAGAAACAAACCTATATCATCTTCCGGCTTGTGATCAACTGACAATTCAACAGCTACACCGTTACGACACAGTACTGCCCGGCTATCACCCGCATTGCCAACTACTACTTTATCCTAAACCAGTGACATGTGCAATGAAACTCTTTCGGAAATAAATGGTCGTAATTTAAAATCATTTTCTTGCTGTAAAACTTCTTGGGCAACAGGCAAAATATGAATTAATCTTGTCACCAGTGACTAAAATGTGCAGTATAAGCTATTGATTGGTTTTACAACCATCAGTCAATACAAACCCGGCTTACACATGCCTCATCCTATAATATGCCATTCGAAATATGTGATAGGACCCTTCAGAATGAAACATTACCTTGAAAATTATAACAACGCATGCTGTCGTGCCTGAATCTTCACCTGGAGTATCACCTGGCGAGCAAGAATAGGTCTGTTCAGTCTAAAACTTGCACTTTAAATAACATGTTATGAAAGAAAGTTATAGTTATCAACTACTTCTGAAAAACAATCATCCTTAACTACTACCGTGAGATATCTAGTGAACGATTTGACTGTATTAATGTAATCTTGACTATCAGTTGGTTTTTGCAGTCTGAATTTACTTCAGCTATTTTTGTTGGGATGTATTTCACGAACTATATATATGTATACATTTCTACATATATATATATATATATATATATATTCCTCTATTAATCCTAACAAGATATTTGGAACCTACATCATCGATTTCTTCATCATCCATTTCCTCTTCCTCATCACCTTCACTCATCTCTTCATCAGCGTTGTAATCTTCATCTACTGACTCTGAATCCGAGGAAAATGTAACCTGCACATCGGAAGCTCTGAAATATCCAAAGTCTTATATAAAATTCTGGAAATAGTATATCATCTTTCATTTTTTCGTAATGTCGAAAAATTCGGTGGTAGAAGAAACTATGCCACACAATCGTACTTTTTTAAATGGAGTTATCAACAAAAAGATCTGGAATTAACAGCTACTGACGCAGAAGGATGAGGATTCTCGCTAGGTGGTATGGAGCTATCTCCATCACCTGAATCGCTTGAAGTTATAGTAGTATCAACTTCAGCATGACCCGCAACTTCTGGCTCACTATTTGCTGTTTCACTTTCGCACCTAAAATAAAAATAAATATGAGGGGCTTATTAAGAGAATCACGATTTATTACATGAAAACAATCAGTTGAACTGAAAGTGAACTGATTGTTTACTTTCGTTTTCATGAACTAGCAAAATTCGATGATGCAGTGATGTTGTTGTAGAGCAACAGCTCGAGTTTAACATTAAACCTTTCATCTTGAATCGCTGCCTCCGATTTATCGACCGTTGATCTACCTGGGAATGTATCCTTGCTCTGACTATCCGATGTACCTTCGTCAATATCTGCAATTAACACTGATATAGTTTGCTGTTCAATTTCAAAATGCTATAAAATAGTTATAGCCTTCATTAGATTACTAAAAAGATAAACGGTTAGATGGAAGATATACAAAAAAAAAAAAAACTTAAAAAGAAAATGCAGTTCTTTAGAATCAATCCCATTTGCCGATTTATAATAGAAATTTCAAACGTACCAATAAAGCCCATTCGAAATTAACTGAATTTTTCAAATTAATAGCACAAACCATTTGCGGATTTGGTGCGCTTTGCTTTTAGGATACTGGGAAACACTGGGTCACTCAGTCGTTTTTTGGGTTTCTCTTCCACTGCCATTTGTTTTTTGGCTTTCTCTTCCACTACCTTTTCTTCCGTTTTTTCTAGCTGATTTCCATCGGTTTTAATTTCTTTGTCGATCACAGCATCGTTATTCGAATCTTTTCCATTTGTTCCTCGTTCAGACACATCTGATCCGTTTTCTTCAGTTTTCTTCGCGGTCTCTTCCATTTTCTGCGTTATGGTGTCAATGAAAATTTGCAATTTGACTCGCAAAATTGAGAATATAATTTTTCAAATTCGTTGATAAGTAGTCCTTGATAAGTTCAAGCATAGGACAATAGTTATACAACCGTATGTTACCAGTTCTTAAAATATAACAAACTAAATGACAGCAAAAGTAACAAGGATCACCTGAATCTGCTCGTCTCCTCCATCTTGATGTTCAAACTGTGTCCGCAACTCGTCGAGATTAATGACTGACTGCTTGCCGTTCTGCTCTCGATGTAAAAGAATTCCATATCTTTCTAGTATGGTTTCAATTGGCATTCCAGCTTCTTCATACAACGCTTGCTGAATAGGGAAAACAAACGAAAATCTCATGTTATGATGGCAATTTTAAATTAATCCACGACCAGATAAAAATGAAATAACCTTATCCTCGTCATCATCGCTTAATTCGTCGTGTTTTGGTTCCACATTACCTGCCATTTTCTTCAGTTCTCTCATAACCGCCTCTGACCTATAAAACGCAGGATTTTAACTCCAAAAACGTAAAAGTCAGAAATTTCTAGCAAATAAAATCCCAAAGTATAAATTAAGTCGGTGATTTGCAAAATTGTCCTTGTTTATAACCTTAATAATTCATCCAATTCCAAGAAAGTATCCTGTATAGCTTTTGCGTAATTACCCGAAAACCATGAATTATTTCCTTTCAACATATCTGGCAAATGATTTGCACTGTACTGTGCCACTTCACTTCCTGCAATGTACATTCGTTTAATAAAATTTAACATTATTTGTCTTGAAAAAATAAAATAAAAATAACTCTTTGTCTTGAGAATCTATAGCAATTCAGAAGTGAACTAATTACAAGTATTCCTTCGAAATTTACCTCCATGACCATCGTATACTGCGAAAAAGGATGAATCGTCGTCATAATTTACAATACAATTATGTGCATCCTGGAAATGAAATATTTCAAAGATATTAAATATTCCATAATTAATTGTTTAATCTATAATTAATTTTATAATTCCATATCAAATTTATTTGTTTACTACTCATCCCTGTATCAAAAAGTGCACCTGCATTTCGGAATGAACGTCACCTGATACCCTAGCACAAAGTTGTTATATAATAGAAATGTTTCTAAATAGTTTTTCATGGAAAAACAATCTTTCATGGAAAAACAATCTTTGGCTGATTAATTTCAAAATCCCAAATAACCTCTTGATTGATACGCCATCCTTGCATACTTGTTGCAGCATAATATATTCGCTCATTGCCACCACATTCGGATACTTTTTCCGTTATTGGTTTACTCAAATAGGCGCCCATATGTGCTAATGGCCTCAAGTTATATTGTATATAACTGCAAAGGTGATAAAGTCTATCCGAAAAGAAGTGGAAATTTAACTATAACATTTTATGAACACTGTGTCAAGCTTTGCTTTTGGATATCAAGACAGAAACACGTTTTTTTATAGGCATAAAAAAAAGGATACGAACAAAAACAGCGTAAATCATATGTGAAAGAAGTGGAATGCGAGTAAATTACATGAAGGCAGATGACAACTATCTCTAAGTCGTTCTTAATAAAATTCGATTTAAAAAAAAAAAATAAAGAAAAGATGCTGAATAAGAAATATATCAAATTTGCTTGAAATTGTTACAGAAAAAAAATGCATATAAAAACGAATTCTTACTTGTAGTAGCAGGAAACTTATGCGAATCGATGTTAATTGAATTATTCTACAGTAAATGCGTTTGAAATATAGGTGACAAATTCAAGCAAACTTAATTCGATAAAAAAATCCTTTGTCGAAAACGACAATAATTAGTCAATTATTGGAATAATCAATGTATATTATTTAATCAGTAAAACAATTAACATCAGATATTCAGTTAGAGAAAAATTAGAGCTCAATAAGCATTAACCACAAAAACAGTCAAAAATTAGCACACTGGAATAACGATTACTAAAATCTGGTAACTAAACAACATAATATTTAATAGTTGGCATGCAAATATCGAAATTCAAACAGATTTACTAACATAACACAGGTTAGATCATGATTACTGTAAACATCAACGAATCTATGATGCATATGTTTTCAACTATCTTTGAAATTCCTTACGTATTAATTACGAGACACTAAACATAGATTTTAAATACTCACGTAAATAAAGAGAGAGAAGAAAAAAAAAACACCATGTATGCAACACTACGTCTACATGAAATTAACTTTTACAGAAAATGGAAATGTAGAAAAAGACCAAAATGGATTTGAGCTTCCCTATTAAATGACAATATGAAAATCTGATTTATTATGAGTATATAATTGAAGCAATGGAAAATTGATAGGTAACTACAGATAATTTCAATGATTTAAAATATTAAAATTGAAACGACAACTCCTTAGTTTCTTCACCAATTACCAATAATCTAATCTCGACATACTGAATGCATGAATGAACTGCGCACTTACGTGACAAGTAAAATACTAACATTGTCACGTAATTGTAGATAGAAACCTCCCTCACCTCCTACCTCGGAAAGAGCCATGTATTCTCTGGACTTGTATTAGGCGGCCAGCACGCAACATTTCACGGCTAGCCGGTCATCTGTCTCAATCCACATGATTGAAGAGTGGCCGATGGCTTAGCTAGTTGAATCATTGTGTTCAGATTCATCCCTATCCTCACTGCAGAAATATTTTTGTAATTATCGGGTAGATATTAATTTAGAAGATTGGATATCCCTCTGCTTAGTTTACCAATTTTGCTCGTATTTAATCTCTAAAAGGAACATCCTGTGAATTTTTGAAGTTTTCAAAATTTCAATTTACAAATTTTCACTGCTAATCAACCGAGCATGGTGTGCTAATTTATGTTTATTACAGTGTATATAAATCTATAAATTGGTTGAATCCCTCTTTACATTGAGTACTTGCTGAGTATTATTACTGTTATATTGTATTAAATTCTCTTTTGATGTACTCCTTATAAGCAGATCTCGTAATATTAATTCAAACACCAGTGATTAAGGGAAGAAGGTTTTTTAATTTTACTAAAATTTCAATAACCCAACTTTAAAATGAAAAGAGGAAAGGAACTAACTTCGTAATTTGTCTTTATTTCCATCTATTCTTTTGTTTGAAAGAAAAGGAAATTCATAATGAAATAGTAATCATTGGTAATGGATAATAAAGAATGAGATGGGATGTGTTTGTTATAATTGGTTATAGTTACAATTGAGTTTAGGCTGAATTTTTTCTAGAATTTTTTGCTTAAAATATAGTGTAAGTTTGCATACGTAATAATAAGCTGAATGCATTGATGAGTCAGCAAGATTTACGTAAGTTCCATTGATTTTGTTCCACTAGCATGATTGCTTTAGCTCTCACTATGTGATCAATTTTTTGGTAATATTTTGATACTTTTTTTTTTTCAGTGATATTATACCTGAGAAGAAAAAAAAGAAAGAGAAATAATGCCAATAAATGTTTGTATTACAAAAATAAATTAATCGATCATTTTTAGAATTACTTTCATTTGTGATCTCATTACCAATGTTTTGTAAAATCTTTAAATTTCATGCATTTTAACGTCAAGCATTTATTCATTAATTAACAGATTAGTATATATCCGATAGTTCCTACCCATTACAGGTCGACTGATATTTTTCCGATAGTTCTGTATGTCTATTATGGGCCATTGGTACCTTCCCACTGCTTTTGATCTCTTAAAGGTTGTTTCATGTCCTATCCACTACTGTATTTTTGTAGTTATTGATCTTAGGTTTGAGGAATCCGGTAGGCCTTTATATCTTTTCGTATAAATATCGTCAATTTCATTTCTTTTACTTTTCCCATAAAACAACCATTTAAAAAAAAGTGAAGTTTTACATAAGCCATGCCAAGAAATATTAGTTTAATTTGTAGCTGTGTAACTTTTTCCAGGATTTTGCACTTACTAAAAGTTTCAATTTTTACAACAAATTGTTTATTAAAGGGGAAAAAAACAAATTCACTGGAAATTTAAGAGCTGTTCTATGGATTACTTCTTTTTGCATATATATGTATTAAATTAAATGAATATTCCATGTCTTAAATAAGATTAATATCAGTCTTACATGACTGTATATCCTTAGATAACAAAAGTTTTTATTTTTAAATTCATTAAAATTTTATTTAAATTTCGATAAAGTCATATTTATTAAAGTTAGTGACGAACGATAAAATATCGTAGATGCCTTCATTGGTTGTGTTGGGACGACGGTGGAATATTGCCAGTGATGATTTCGTATTTCCATCTTTGTCCGAAATATTAGTTCGCTTAGCGTGGTAAGTTTTTTGATTTTCTTTTTCTTTTCTAAAATAACTGACATTTTGTAGCACCGCAAATCACTTGTAAAATGTCCGGAAAAAGCCGTATCCGGTATCAGATATTTCAAACAAGAATTTGGGGCTATTATCAATACTTAATTTTGGCTTTTAACACGAAATGTAAGAGTTAACAACATGTTTTTTTCTTTTTCCCCCTTTTTATTTCTTTATTTGTTTATGTATTTATTTATTTTTCTTTGAAATAAAAGTGGGACTGAAAGATAAAGGGCAACGATTGACGAAATAGAGCAAGAATATTAACAACAATTTAGCAGTTAATATGAATTACCATATAATTTAGTCTCGATTATCATGGAGTGATGATTGCTATTGCTTATGTTGACTTTAATTGTGTGAAGTTGGATAATTTCAGGATATCACTGACATGCATTATATTTATGTTGAAGAAGTGGGAAAGTTGCACTGGCCAACACTTTCTCATTAGTCTTTTTTCATTAATTAGTATCAATGGCATAACTATTTTAACGTGTTTTGTCATGGCCGTGGTTAGTGCGCGTGGATCTATCCTGGAACCACATAAGCGACATCACGTCACAAAAATTATCTACATACGTGTACCATTGTTTATTTGTGAAATTACCATTACTGGTGTATCAACGATCTTCGCTTATGGTAAGCATAATGAGGTTTGACCATCACCGGCCATGATTTCGCGTTTAGTAACTTCGTTGTAATCTGCTTAGTTTATAAAAAGTGAAATTATTTTTTACTGCCGTAAGCTGCCTTAACCCTGAAATTGGAGTAAAACTTTGGGATTATATTTTAGTAAGAACCTTAGGATTATATTTCAGTTATCGATATCTTTTTCATTGCGTAGATTCTGGTTTGTTGTTTTGTTGGATGAAAGGAGGCGAACTGGATAGACGGAGTAGAAAAAAGAAAAGAACAAAGGAATAGAAAACAGAAGAAATAAACTCTTTTAGTTTGTGTGGTTATGGAATTTTGATTGTTCAATGATTACCATTTTATTCTTCGTTTTTGCAGCTTCAGATAACCAATGTTGCAATTTTCAGGAAGTTCAGTTCCATGTAGTCTTATTACTATACTGCGTTTAACAGTTTTGCTTCAATGGGCCCTGATAGTAACAGTTTTAGTTGGTATTGCTATTGTATTTAATCCATCTGGTGGTAATCGTATACAGCCAAGTTTCCGGACTGAAAATCGAGTTTGGATGTTACGTCTTAAGTTGGTTAGTCATTGTTTCATTCCAAGTTTTTCCATTTGTTAATTAAATCTCGTTAAATTATTCAAAAAACTGAATTAACATCAGAAAATTTTAGTTTTTGTTGAAAAGAAATGAAGCAATGCGTGCAGCATTAAAGGATATTGCCATTCTTACAACATCATTTTTTGCCGACGTTGATCTGGTAGCATCCGACATTCTAGCTGGTCTTCTATTGCTTGTTCATGCTCCTCATCGACCACCCAGTTCAACCACTTATGTCCCGGAAATCGAAGTAATTTTTTTTGCAAAACTGTTCAGGCATTTGGTAATTTAACGGCTTGGGATCATTTTCCAGTTATATTTCTAGGCTTGCTGACCCTCAAGAATATTATTCTGTATGAGACCATTATAGATGCACAAATATTCCCTTACATCCAAATTAGCATTTCGGTGTTGGACATCTGATTTAGTTGTAGACAACATTGCTTGAAGAGAATATTAATAGAGAAGAAGGAATTTGATACGTATGATGTGAAGGATTTTTTAGTAGATTTAATGGTTTTCACAACATATTTTCGTACAAAGTTTTGTAATTACGTAGAAAACATAATGCTAGGTTGCTATAAAGATACAGAATATTTCGGAACTATTTCAGAAAATGCAGAAGGTTTTTGTAAATAGCAGGATTTTAGAACCCTTTTCATACGCTATTGTGATATTAATGTTGTTATATAGTGATACTGCATATGATAATAAGATAACGTGTATGTTGGTGTTTTGTTAATCAACTAAAACACGACTAATGTTGATTAAACTAAAGTATGGATAAATTATACAGCCACCAGATTGGATGACATTGGAGAATGCGCGTTATATGGCAAAATATATAGCAGCCATATATGGTTGGGAAATTTACATGTTTTACAATTGTGGTTGTTGCGATTGGCTAAAAGTATGTAAAAAGATTAAATGTTGTGGAAAATGCTGCAACAGGTGTAGTTTTACAAGGCTCATCGTAAACTTCGAAATTTATAAGCAAAAAGTTTTTCCTCTCTTGCTTGTCATGATAGTTACGTAGATTAGAATTCATATATATCAATTATTCATCAGACTTAAACTTAATCCAAGAGTCGAGTTCAAGACGGGAAGAAAAGTTTCTGTCTCTTTTGTCCAACTGTTTGAATTCTAATGAGTAAGACAGAATAAGTTGACATTCTAACTTCACAAAATTCGAAACCTTGTTCTAATACATTCCTGGTGGTAATCTTTAGTTTTCTGATAAATGCGATTTAGTGGGGTGTGTCTCAACAGCATACTACATTATGCTAAGGTGTGTTTTTGGAAATTTCCAAAGTAGGAAAATAAGTGTAACATTACTGGGGAACATAACTATGAAAGATATTTTACAGGCAAGATTTTCCGATTAGAGGTGATAATTGCTGTGCATGTGCTACAGCTACCTTCCTGGCAGTGACAGAGTGTAAGGAAACTGATATCATCTTCGTTTCATTTGCAAACGAACTCTATCAGGTAATATTATCTGTTACTGCAAGTATCTTTATACACAAAATTTTTTTTACCCGAAAAGGTCATCATCTTTTTATTATTATGCCAATATTTTGTTTCTTTTAGGTGCCGTTTGTTGTACTTGTGGATGTAAAAGCAAAAAGTATTGTAATAACTATACGTGGTACAGCTTCGATGATGGATGCGATCAATGATTTATCGCTTGATGATGAAGCATTTTCAGTAGATGTCGATCAGGATCCGATTCTTTCTCGAGATGAAAAGTTGGATGCTCCTGATAAGGTGTGAAATGAAGAAAAGTAGTAATTCATGTAAATTTTGAATTTCAGCACTTCATTTTGTCCTTAATCTTTCGACAAGTAAAAGAGTAAATTATGTTGTACTTTGCGTTGAAATTTTCCAGGAAGTGCGCGTACATCGTGGTATGTTGCGTAGTGCAAGATATGTGCTTGAAGTATTACGTGCGGGTCGTATTTTAGAAGGTTTAAAAATGAGATATCCGGATTTTACACTCGTTTGTTGTGGACATTCATTAGGTGCTGGAGTTGCAACATTGCTTACATTGCTCCTCAAGTAAGTATTATACTGTGTTTAATGTTGAAATGTTATCGGATTGTATATCTAACAGAATGCGTAAAAGTTCGAACATTTCTATTTTTTTTTGAAAAAGGTCATGTTTTAGGCAATCATTCAGTCCTATACAGTGTTTTGCATACTCTCCTCCAGGATGTGTCATCAGTGAAAATGGTTTAAGAGAAACACAAAAATACGTATTTAGTGTTTACATTGGTGATGATATTGTCCCACGATTATCATTTCAGGTAATTTTCTTGATTTTTTTTCGAAAAACAGCTGTAGGATAGAACAAAAAATGTAATATATTAGAACTGATAATTGTCCATCGTATATGAATAACTATATGTTAGAGGACTTAAACTGTACTTTGTTATCAGTTTTTATAGTCATGAAGTCGAAAGTGAAACTAAAATTCTTGAAATTGAAAACGGGAAAGAAATAATCATATGCTGCCTTAATAGGTTGTTATACTATTTATAAGATAGAGCTAACATTAATGACAAACAAATTGCATTAATTTGCACCGGATAAAAAGATCTTGTTCTGTCGTCCGATTACCAACATCCATATTTTTTCAATAAAAAAAAACATTGGTTTCTCTCACCATAACTAGACGGTTAAAAGTACTATAAAAGTTATTATTTCAGATATAAATGATAATGTAATGTTTTTTCTTATCGCGAAAATTTTGCAATTCAATTTTCAGACATTATGTAGGTTGAAATATGATGTGATCATGTCATTGGCATACAGTAATTCACCGAAATATAAAGTTCTGCTTCGCGGTTTTTATCAGTTATGTTTTTCTCATCCATGGCAAACTGGTCAAGATAGTTCGTTTTAATCTTCATTCGAATTAAAATAAATATAACTTTCTGGAGTTTTTGATACACTCAAGCACGACTTCAAACAATATAAGGTGTAGTACACCAGCAGCAAAAGTTGAACCTTGTATTTTTGTTTTTTCAAAGTTTTTACTAAACTGAGGGACAAAAAATTAGTCGTAATCTGACGTTTGTGTTTATTTGTTGTTAAAAGTATAGGTTTTGAATGGAGTTTATAGCTTCTTTTAATTTAATTTTTTATTTGATGATGCGATTGTCTGTCCAACGGTGGAAACTGCAAATTTCACCTTGATGGAAATGATATTAGTAACATCAGTTGGGCCGTTCGTCATCTAAATTTTCTTTTTCATTTTTCTTTTTGTGTAATTTTCTTTTTTCTTTCTTTTGTTTTTTTACTGATTTGTTTAAAATCATAGTTTTTTCATTTTAATAGATCATGAGGAGGATGCAACTGTAAACATTAATGATCGACTCCCATTAGTTTTCCATAGTTCTCTTTTGATTATTGATGATAATGCAGATAATGCAGGGGAAAACAATCCTGCTGAAAGATGGGCAAAAAAGCGGACGAAGGTATGTATATTCTTAAGAAAATGATATATTGTTCTACTTTGACATCATTTTTCTTGTTAATGATATATGAGAGTATATAAAGCAAAGCTTTTCGTAGATATGAATCAGGTTATCGTTTTAAACTAATTTTCAGTAAATTATCGGTAAATTATTGTCTTTTAATTATAAGCATTTTAATTATAAGTTTTTTAATTATAAGCCTTATGATTGAATTCAATTCAAGTAATTTTGTAGCTCCTTCCACCAGGATGTTTACTTCATGTCTGGGTGATCAATAACGAAAAAAAATTTGCAAAAGATGGACTCATTACAGGTACTTCTTTCTCTTTTTCTTTTGAAAATGCAGCATCAGAACATATGATTCCTTCAATCTGAAGGAAATTGAGTTGCGAAAAATTTGTTAAATTTCATTCTAAGTAGTTTAACGAAGAAAAAAGTTGGAGAAATGAATTTGAGTCATTTGTTTCATTTCTAATCAGTCTGTACTACAGCTCGCTGAATGAAATCAAGCTGTCAAGTGCTGTTATCAGTGACCATTTACCATATAATGTGTTAAAAGTGCTTAACATGGAGCTTAACTTAGATGCCTGATATTTAGAGGTTTTTTTTTTTCCTTTTTTTCTTTTTTTGATAGCTTATTCTATTTTACTCACGATAATATTTATTAGCTTTTTCTTTTATTATTGTATTGTCAAATTGTTGTAACCCAAATGGATAGGATTTGAAAAGTGGATTTCGAATTTTCTTATATCAGTTTTATTTATTCACTTTACCAGCTCTTTCTCGAATTTCAGAAGTACGAAGTAAAAGTTGCTTGTATGGTACTTTTAAGCAGAAATATTCCCGTGTCTGAGTTTTTGAACAATCATATATGGTATTGATCGTTCCAA